CATTTTTCCTCATGATCCGGAAATTTCACTCGAATGTAATGCTGCACAGGTAACGCACAGGTGACGCACAAGTGCCGCAAGGGTGACGCATGAGCGGCACCCCCCATGTCATTTATTTTTGATAAAAAATCTCTGCTGTCGTCCTTATGTTCGCAAAAATAAAACTGTATAGCGCTAGATATAACGGATTATAATTAGATTCTATGGTCACGTCATACTGAAATTCCGCATATTAGTGAATTTTATTTTGCTGCAATAATTGATTAGTAAGTATCACCATGCAATTACGCAATTGATTAAACCACTTAACGTGTTTTAAGTTAATGATACATGCTTAGTAAACAATTTATTATAATAAAGAAGAAAATATACACCAGTGTATACCAATATACAATACATGTTTTTTTTTTTTTTTTTTAAACCTTAATCAATTTTTTATAGATATCCCATTCTAAAATACGCTGAAGAGAATTAAAAGGAAAAAATTTCTGTGCATCAAGAAAGAATTCGCGAGACCTTAACTAAAAGTCGCGAAAGTTTGATCTAAAAAAAGAATGATAGGTAAATCTCTCGGAAAATTATAAATTTTTATTGCAAGAACTCGTTGGAGTGTCTGTGGACTCCGAATTATTGATGACTGAGGTGCTTGTGAATACAGTATTAGAATTCGAATCTACCAATGTCGAGGTGTCGGCCTCATTTGAAGTACCTGAACCAATCACCAATGCCAAATTATTCGCTATGTCTTGTGGCAACGGTCCCGAGCCTTTTGCGTTTCCTGTATTGGCCGGATCGCCTGGAGGAGTAATGATGTTTGGGAAAAGGGGTGGCAAATTCGCTCGCGTGATATCGATAAGTGGTAAGGGTTTCGTTGCATTGCCTACAATCTTCACATCAGCACAATTCTGATAGAACTCCCGGTTACCCACTGCATTAATCCAACTCCAACTGAATAAACAATTTCCAGGGCTATTACATGAAGGTGCGTTCTCAGGTATTTTCACCTTCCAATTGTTGAAGAAAACATCCGGACATGTTTCATGGTAGGTAGCGATAACGGTATACGTCTTACCGCCATCATAACTCAATGCAAATTCACAGAGTCCACCATTGTGACGAGCTTGATCGGTATTAGGATTTGCCACGGAGGGGTCTGGAATGTTTTGATTGAAAAATTCTACAGATATAATTTCTCCAGCAGTTAATGTGGTCACAATTTGTTTATCAGGTGGATAGCCACCACATGGGAAAGCCTTGGGGGCACAACCAGCGCCACCATTTAGTGGAGCAGCGATACAACTGAAATCTTGTACGGCAGCATTAGGATTCTTTGGATGACCGCGAGTGGGTGGCGATGACATCGTGGAGTGAGCATAAGTTGAGGACGCGAGAGCAAGGAGAAGTAGAGCAGAAAACTTCATTGCGAAAATTAAATAAACAGTATTGATAGAAAAGTCCTTATTGATCTAAGATCTAGGAAAAAATTAGACCTGCTAGCAAGTCGCGATAAAAGATTTGAGTTCGAAGGTGCGTTTGTGTATTTATTAAGATCAAACTTCGCTACTTTTAAAAGAAGAACAACAGGGCCCGTCCTGGGGAATATTGTTTTCTATATATTCTTGACTGAGGAATGGGTTAAGGAAAAAATAACTTTGAGGAGGAGGCATATTTATATTGAAAAATTTGATCAACTTTGTCAGACCAACGCGTGTACGATGGATGATACAATAAAGCCTTTTTGTATTGTTCATATGACCCGTTGAGTACCATAAAAAATATCTATCCATAAATTTTTTCACATCATCCACTAACAAAGAATTTAAAGGGTAATTGGAAGATGGAACTACCCCGACGATGTTCGCATTGTTTTGATCCGTCGCATCACCGTTATAACTAAGGATCATCAGCCTTTGTATATTTTCAACAAAGAGAAACCTTACAGGCTGGAATTTGACAAGGAAATTTAGTAGAAATTTCAGCATGTGAAGGTAGTGAAACATTCATTATTACGGTAATTGTCCTTGAAATCGCTTTTTCAATCATTAATTATCATTGACCTCTATGCATAACACCCAATGGATCTTGCAACCTGTTTACTTTCAAATTTCCGCAGCCGTTACACGGATAATTTCTTTGAAATTCAAATTAGTCCATTTGTTTAGTCGGCGCACGCATAATAATTTTCTTATATGTGCATGCATTTGTGTACAACACTCCTTTGTTTCAATTTGTTTCAATGCCAAACGTAAACTTATTAAAAAATTCGAATCCCTAAGACGCATGCGTGTGTTATAGCACTATTTAGAGCCAATTCCTTTTTAATTGTATTAAGAGTCACCGACGAAAACAAACGGTTTTAGATAATGCGCCAAGATGAATCCCTGAAATCAAAACCCGATCTTTTCTTGGCAACATAAACGTTAATGTCCAATAAGGATTTCATAACTTGAAACAATTTAGGTGCGCAACTTTTGCGAACCCGCCATATTGATTAAAAATCGTCACGTGGGCGTGAATATTATGATTACACGACGACCACCGGAAAGTAGAATTGTGGTATTATATTCGTTTGGGGTTACCTCAATTTATATCCTGTTTAAATGCATCATGACATTTATTCGATAAACCTCGAATACAATAATATCCATTATTCTAACTGATAAAAGTTGTCTTTTTACGGATTTTGAAATCGATCAAATTCGAAATCTTTGAGCTCAACTCTAGACTTGAAAAACCTCAAAAGGAATCGGTTCCGTAAGGTCCAACAATGGATTAGGTGTAGTAAAAAATCTTCTTTTATTTTCCATCAACTCGGAACAAATTTTACTTCGTTTTTTATTTCTGGCATTAAATTTTTAACAAATGACAGCTTTCCTCCTAGAGGATCATTATATAATGCTTGTTTGTTTGTTGATTTTCTTGTTTAATTATGCGGCCTTTGCTTTTTCCAACTCTTTAAATTATGAAATAATGTTTCACAATAATTATTAAAATAATAATAATACGTACACTGGGTGGTGCGTCCAAAATGATCGGCGTATAGTATAATGGATGCGGGTTGCGAACTTTAAAGTAATTATCTCCTAATAAATTTGGTGTAATACGAGTTTATTAAAGTAAATGTTATCTAATCTATATACATTAATATCGTGTTGGATAACCATTTGCTTTAATAATAGCAGCAACTCTATGAGGCATACTATCAACCAAATTAATTAAAATATCAGGTTCAATTAAATTCCATTTCTCCTTTAAAGCAATCATCGATTCAGTTTTGTTTTTAGATGATTTGGTTGTGCACAAACTCTTCTTTCTAAAACATCCCATAAATGCTCAATCAGATTAATATCTGGACTTTGAGCAGGTCATGAAAATGATTGAATTAAATTATTTTCTTTCCACTCTTTCACTTGTTTTGTTCTATGTACAAGTGCATTATCATCTTGAAAAAAACATAAAATTATCAATAAAAGGTTTAAGATAATTTTCAAGAACTTTTAAATATCTTTACTATTAATTAAATCAAAAATTTCAATTAAAGGTCCAAGTGTATTTTGTGTAAAACAACCCCATACCATTACATCTTTTTCACCTGATTTTATAGTAGGTAAAAGACATTCTATATCATATTTTTATGTAGTTTTCGTCAAACCCATTTACATGAATTATTCACAAATATTAAATATCAAGATTCATCACTCCAAACACTAATTGTTACTTAACAGTTCAATATTTTTTTTTATTATACCATTTTAATCTTTTTACTTATTTTGTTCTGAAATAAAAGATTTTCTCACTCTAGTTCATTCATAATAACCTTATTCATAAAGTATATGATGGATAGTCTTATCACTAACTGAAATAGCTATGGCAATATTGAATTTTTTAGTAATTTGTTCAATAGCTTGTTAATGATTTCCTTAACAATTTTAATTACATGTTGGATTACATGAACACTTATTATTCTTGATCTACCTAACCATGAAGCAACTTTTACTTTTCCAAATTTCTTATACTGATTAATTACACTTGTAACTATTGTTCTTGGTTGATTTAAAATCTCTACAATCTTTTTATGTGAAAAATCACCTTTAAAAAGATCAACTATTTCACTATATTCTAAATCTATTAACTGAAAACCTTTCTTTGATTTTTGAACATTTGACATTATATTAAGAAAATTTTTAATTGTATTTGAAAGCTACAGTTTTTAGCTTTCTAAAAACATAAATTAATTTATATTTACAATCAAATATATTGCACAATTGAATTTTAACTTTGGATGAAAATTTTTAAAATATTACCATTGATTATTTTGGATGCAGACTTTTGTTTACCCAGTGTATATAATTACTTTTAAATTTATTTATAGTGCTATTTCTTTATTTTACATTATTTTATTATTTATCAATTATTATATATATATATTATATATTTCAATATATACAAAAGTCTAAAATGCCAAATAATTAATAAATATATAGTACTGACCTGACCACGGGTATTAAAAAAAAAAGTCTAAAATGCTAATAGCATAAATCACAAACTTTAAAGTAATAATTTTTGATTACCACTTAATATATTTAATATAATAAAGCATTATTTTTATTTACTAAAGTAAAAGTTATCTATCTATTTATCCATATCAATATCATATTAGATAGTTATTTTTTTTATTAATAGTAATAACTTTATAAGACATACTTTTAATCAAATTAACTAAAATATTAGATTCAATTAAAATCACTTTTTCTTTAATATAATCATTAATTCAATTTTGTTTTTAGGATATACTGATTATACAAAAATTTTTTTTTATTGAATATTTCATAAATACTCAATTGAATTAAAATTTGAACTTTGAACAGATTATAAAAATAATAAAATCAATTTATTTATTTTTTACTTTTTGACTTATTTTGTTCTATATACAAGAGTATTATTATCTTGAAAATAATATAAAAATTATCAATAAATAAATTTTAAAATTTATAGCACAGTAGTAATGCTCCCAGATCACAATCACAAGGTCCAGAGTTCAATACCACATGAGAACCAAGTGAAAATTAAGCCACAATATGGTACAAAAATATTATCTATTCCATGATGATAATCAAGTATCTCAAAAAGGCCATAAGGAGAATCTGTTTACTCATTATGCCTATAGTAAGAATAACAAATTAACACAAGATTCTATATAAGACTAGCATGAGTAATACAAGTTCTCCATACATAATTGGCTTCAGGTACTCGAATAGAAAGTGAAGAAAGAATCCCACCCACCTATTGTAACCATAACAAGATAAGATATGACACAAGGTTTCACAAATATGGTTAAGATAAGTAGTATAAAAGTCCCAAAAAATATATGAATCAATGATCCCTAATATAGAAGAAGAAGAATATGATTACTTATAAACGAATCAAGACATGCCCATATATAGCCAAGAAAATATTCAATCCAGTATGATACTAAAGACACAAAAACAGGTTTCAAAAATTATGGCTAACAATTGAGGAATCGATATCCTTTATATAAAAATTGAGCCCTAATTAAGTAACAAGACAGATACTAGATACATGACAAGCTCCCAAAAAGAAAAAAGAAAAAATCTTGAAGTACTAACAGAGTCAATAGGAGACCCCATATAAGAAATCCTCAACACCAGTAATGCTGGATATCTTGGATAAGTTTCTGACATATTAGCTCCCCTAAATATTAGGGATAACAACAAGTCATCCAGTGAATCACAGTTTTAGGAAGTATTATTTCTAAATATAAAAGGTAATCTAGTATATTATTTCATTAAAGCTGAATATATAAGACTTCCCAAAATCATTAGCCGAATTAGAATTAAGAAAGTAGTCCTATACTAGATGATCACATAGTTATTCCATCCTGGTTGGGTGCGATATAAATAGATATCTCATGTACTATTTATTGATCTGTAAATTCTTAGACATTATGGGTAATTACTCATCCTGATTGTCTCTAGGACTTATTTTAACTCTAATAAAGTTTCAAAATTGATACAAAAATGAGCTTTCACTTCAAAAAAAAAAATTTATTATTGTTAATTATATCTAAAACTTTAATTAAAGGTCTAAATATATTTTTAAAGAAATATCTTTATACTATTATATCATTTTTATTTAATTTAATTATAGATAAAAGATAATCTACATTATATTTTTTATATAATTTTTATCAAATTCACTTGCAAATTAATTTTCAAAAATTAAATAATAAGATTTATTATTTTAAATAATTAAATATTATTCTATAATTCAAAATTTTTTTATATATTGGTTTAATTTTTTTTTTCTATTTTGCTTTAAAACAAGATTTTTTAATATGACT